AAACGTCGAAGAGTAGGTTCAAGATTTCGTCTTCTCCTGAATGAAATATTTGGCAAAGGACTCTATTGAGCTCATGGGTATTAACTCATTTTTACCAAGGATGGGGTCATCTTCACAAAAAAAACTGTTTTTAAATGGTTCGCCTCATTAAAATGGAAGAAAGCGCTCCACATTGTCTGAAATGCATTCCTCTTTGCAACTTTGCTGATGGAAATAATATAGTTTGCAAAAAGATGAATAATCAGGTTTTCAACCCAAATGTATTAAACGGTAGTTGAGGTCATAAAAAGGATTTTTGTTTTTAAGAAACTGCTTAATTATGGTTATTTGATAATTGCAATCTGCAGAGACCAAACTGACAACATAATTTAACAAAGGTAAACCAAGTTTAAAATCACTATAGCAAAGGGACGACAGGCCTTGCAATACAATTAAAATGCGCCAAACTTGAGCAAGTTATACACAAAATCCATATTGTGTACAAGCTATGACTAGAATTACCCCGAAAATTTTATAAAAGCAACATACATGTTACAATTCCTTCATGTGCCCACTTTATAAATTATGCACAATAAAGCTCAAAGTAAATAAACGTAACGTACATGTGTTTTAAAGCTAGGCAAAGCCTATATATATGGTCTTTAGGATCCAAAGTACAGACAATTGTTACTTAGTTTGTTTTATTCTTTCGACACAGATGAATTTGTGTGGGTCACCGTTCAGAGCGGCATTTTATTGTAAGTCTGAGGGGTGTTGGTAAGATCGTAACTTACATGTTATAAGCAGGCGTATCCGCATTTTAACACCATTTGCGGTTAACATTACCCGACATTTAATAATGTCTCCGTTGTAGCTTTTATTAACAGCGTGCTAGTTAAATCTGCACTACGCACCACAAAATAATATGAACCCAAAGGCATTCTAATAGAAAATGCAGTGCTTTAACAAGCGTATTTTAGTAAAAATATAGTAAGTAAGGGCTTAATACAGAAAAAGTTGTTATGCTTATTTCAAGTGGCAACGTTCTAGTTAAAACCTGATTGGCCCTACCGGAGTGAACCTGTACTTAGGTCGATATCAGTAGACTTCTTCGTTTATCTGCATACAAGAAAACACATTTACAAACAACTTGCCCATGAGAGGTCACTTTTTTCTCAGGATTAATGGACAAAGTGAATCAGAGTTAGGGATACCATTTATGGGGAAGCAAGCGCTGTTAAAGTAGTATTATCTCGTCGGAGACTGAGTTGTCGAAGTGACAGGTTAGAAGAAAGAGGGGGGGACAACAGTAAAAATAATAAATGAAAATAATAGCTTACTCAATTTTTTTGGTTTTACGTAGCTTCTTGGAGTCTGCAGGATGTTTTATTGCCAAGGAGCTACAGAGCTCGAGACATAGGGAATAGGAACGGGCTTTCAATCGCGTTACCGGGATTGGAAGTGCTAACTTTAGATACTGGGTACTTTGCATTACTCCTTTCTTTCAAAAGGATCCAGCCTAGTACTGCCCCTCTACTATTCCGTGTTGGCTGAGGGAGAAGGAGTATGTGGACAATGGCACAAAGATATGGGTTTTGTTTTTCGAGAGTCGTCCGTACTAAACCCGGACTGTCCGGTGTGTATAATATGACAAGTAAATTTTTTTCAAGAAGTCCACTGTTCAATGAATTTCTTTAAAACTTAATGGACTTTAAAGGATTTGTCTGCCTGGATGGACTTTCTTGGGACAGCTTAATCCACTCAGTCATCTATAATCAAAAGGTTAACTTCAGAGTACACATTTAGATATCCACAGAGGCTAATATTGCACATAGAGTAAGATTCACACAAAGATTTTGACGAGGCTTCCTCTTGGATCACGAAATTCATAAATGACAGGTCAAGATGTTTTATAGGTCAAATATTTGCAGGAAGTACTGTTGACGTTATCGGCTGAAAGGGCTGAGAATAATCAGCACCACCGGTGTGCGGAAGCGCGACATCTACACACTGAGCTTAACGAATTCGCCTTCTAGGTATGTGCGGTTTTTGTGGATCCAAGAGACTGTAATACCAAAAGCTGCTTCATTCATCCTCTTTCATCGTCTTCTAGCAATAATGCCACCTGCCACTTCTTGTGGAACGTTGTCCTTCGGTTCCGTAAATGAGCAAAAACCCAAGTCAAGTTAAATTTAATGCTATCAGAAGTTCTTTCCAAAAATAAATGTGTTTATCGTGCTTTTAACTCGTCAAATGGCGAATTCTCATTGGATGAGAGTGAGACAACCAATTGCCTGCCTTCAACGGACCCACTAAATAGTCCATCTGGACGTCGGTGGCCAAAATAGTACCATTCACGAGATAGGAGTAATGTTGACTTTGGGATCATCAAACCTGCCAACAGACGGGAGAACCCTGTCGATCGCAAAGTTAATTAGGGCTTTTAATAGACTTTAAAAAAGAAAAACAGTAAGATTTGCAAGACCAATCCTGTTGTGCAAATGCTCACGCATTATCACAATCTGTGCCACAAGTAATCAGTTGTTGTCTTGCAGGGTCAACGGTTTTTCTAAAGTTGTTTTTGTTGTCGTTAGTGCCACTGGG